GCTGCTATTGCTAAGCAGACAAGCAACTGAAGAACAAACAAGTACTGAGGGTAACACACGCACAATGCCATCAGCATTCCTATTCTTCCACACCTGTCAATCATAACAAGATTATGAGGAATTATAGCCCTCTTAGTCCAATCGGTATGTAACTATTGCCTATCACAGATGCTTGATATCAAAGATGTCGATTTAACTTGAAAAGCTGCAATTTGTTCCTTTCACTTGCACTGAAGCGTGACTTTAGTATGACGTCACTTAGAAAACAGCATGATGTCTATTTCACTCTCTGTCTCACAAAATCGGACTAATACATTTTCTCTCCTTGCTTTGCTGCTTTTCCAGTGCATTGCTTTTTATTGGGCACTTAACTTATAACCAAGAATTTTTTCAAAACGACAGATCGATACGGTAATGAATGCTAGGAATGACTTCCTATGGTGTAAAATGCAAAGAGTGACAATAACCTCCAAAAATACAGAACATTTACAGTTGTAAGCCCAAAACAGATGAGAAGGATGAGCTTTTTTGCTTATTTAAGTTTAACGTATTCTTTTGCTGTATGATATTCTCTGTATTATGCAAAATTTAATGGTTGTTGTTGTTGTTGTTGTAGCTTAGCCATTTTAAGGCCGCTTCTACAAACTACAACGACGGACAGTCTTATTAACGACGTCATTCGCACTACTTCTTGCACGCCTTGCGTGCCTATGTTATGCTATCACAAGGGCTAAATTACCAACCTCATTCCCAGGGTCTCTTATCTTCCCGCCCTACCGAAGAAGATGAGAGACCCTGGGAAAGAGGTTGCTAAAATACCTGTCCAGAAGTTCATCAAGTAGAGCTCCATATCTGGAACCTTGGATGAAGGAAGAAGAAAGCTTCATTGAACTTCACTGGTTAATTATTGATAATACTACTAGTAGTAATCAAAGATTATGAGTGCATTCGACGCCGTCACTTAAACATATATACCTTATGATTTCACTGGCTGACTTTCAACCTTTGTCTATCGCGAAAATCAACGTTTTTCATCAACAACCGAGTCTTAACAGACAGATATATATCATAGTGTCAAAGTCCATGCCAGTGAGGCCAGTGAAGAGGTCCACTGCATAAAACACGGTATGTTAATACGTTGCGTGACGGCGCCCGTTTCCATAGACTCAAAAACAAATTGACATTCATGCAAAATATTTTCTCATTAACTGGGAAGCGATTTTACAATACTAGGCCACTTATAAACATATCCCGCAACGCTTCTAAGAACGAAGCATATAGAAACAAAAGAAACCAGTCAATTCAATGAGATGCAAATGAGTGGCCCGGTATTCTGCAATCTAGCCTGGATGTTGCCTTCAGAGTACTTTTCCACCGATTCCAAACAGTATTCGACCGGATAAAGACTGATCTATCGCTACTGGGACTAATTAAAAAATGCAATCAAACTACATCCTATGAAATATAGCTGTTCCCACGGTTAACATCCTAAAGCCAGGGGGATTCAAAGTCGTGTTCGTGAACATATAAAAATAAATTATAAACCACGAGATAGTCTCCAGATAGACTACGAGTAGTCCCTCTTTTGCTTAGTTCGTCGTGCGTGACGCGAGAGAAAAGCGCGAGAAAAAAATGGCCGCGCGAACTCCTGGAGGCGAGAAGCACGAAAAAGGAGGGTCCCTTCCTCGCCCCAGGATTTCACGCGGCCATTTTTTCCTCGCTTCTTGTTCACGGTCTCGCTCGACGGACTAAGCGAAAGAGGGACTACTCGTAGTCTAGTCTTCAGATATCCGCTTTACGATGCTCAGACTTGCTTAGACTACTAGGAAAACCACGAGGTGCGCGATAGTCTTTGCGCATATGACGTATGAGGGATGACGTCATTCAAAATGGCGCAGAAAATGCAGACGGTCGACAAAAAATGTCAAAAAAGGTCACCCTAGAAACCACAGGACACCCAAGATTATCAGCTGCGTTCTGCGAACCAATCATTATCGACACCAATCAATGTCAATTACTCGATTGATATTGATAATTGATGACCAATCGATGAAGAAGATTTGTGTGACCTTTTATCGATTGGTCATTTCATTTGCTTATTTTGTGGGGCTTACAAGCCACACTAAAATTCGGCATCCGAAACGTTTGCAGTTTGGGAGAATACATATCGCATCGCATATTTTTTAGCTAATTCACATATTTAATAAACAATTTGAGATAAGGTTGAGGTGCTTTGTAATTTTTCCCCTTGAGACTTGCACCTCTGCCGCTGGGAGTCAATTGGACCACAATTTCCAATACTTTCCAAGACATAGATTGTGATGCGTCATTATAACCACTCCAAGCCTCGGAAAGCGCTGGAAACTGTTTTGAGCCCCTCTCCCTTTCAGCAAGGAATATTTGAATCCTAAAAGAAAAGAGGAATGTAAATAACACCGCCAGAATTTGAGCACAAATGGTATAGTCACAAACTGCTTTCTTGCGCACTCATGTTAAATTTGTCACTTACACTGATTGAGGTACCGCGCAAGAATTCCATCAAGAACATCTAGGACTATTCCACCAGTAAAATGAAGGGCAACAGTGAGAAAAGGCTTGGACAGGATAAAATAGAAGGCTGCTAAATTTAGAATAAGACGCACGTAATCTAGGAAAAACAAAAAGCATGTTTTTACTACTGGTGCAAAGATATTTCCATTCAGTTTTTTATACTGTTTAGATATCACAGTCTGCACCATGAAAAGTGGTTTACACTGTGCCACTACTAAGGCAAGGATACTTGATGGATCTGCTCCTGAAAAAGAACAAGTCTTGGGATAGATGGATGGATGGAGGGAGTGTGTGAGGGAGGGAGGGAAGGAAATAGGGGGTAGAGAGGGAGGAATGAATGGATGCATGGATGCATGGAGGGAGTGAGGGAGGGCCTAGGGAGGGAGGGAGGGAGGGAGGGAGTACACACAAACTTTTCAAATCTAAAACTACCAGTGGATGGAGATACCACCTCGAAATTAAAGTCATTAACAATGTCTGATGATTTAAGTTTCCACAAAAGGTCACTGTATCGAGTCCTATTCACCAGACAATTTTATCTATATTCATATTTGATTCACGGAGTTTTTTTTTTTTTTTGCTCCTGCAATTTCTCTCTCGCCAAGTTTTTTTTTTTTCATCCCCAAGCCGAAGAAGAAGAGAGATCCTGGGATCGAGGTAGGATGCGGTCGAGAAGTTCGTGCAAAAATCTTCTCATTAGGATTATCTCTGCGGTCAAATATTGGGTACTTGCCTCAGAAATGCAAAGAACTAATCCGTGACAAACATGGCCAATAAAAAAAGAACAAATCAAATCAATTGGTGCGGAACCCGTTTTACCTTCTACCTCTCGAATAACTAGACTTAAGTACGACTTCACTCGGCAGGCGACTGTCAAAGCCTTATGCACTGGTCAACGGATGTTCGAATTTCAAACCTCCCTGGCTGTTTATAGTTTCCCCTTTTAAAAGACCTTTGCGACTTACGTCGCTCACACTCGCGACTTAGAGAAGGATTTTATACGCAAAGATCGACTTGCGGCAAGTCTAGCAAAAATGCTCTCTTCCAAGTTAAAAATGATATCACGTTGGTGGCCCGGGGGACGTGGGTACTTTATTATATAGGCTATATAGGTATGTGGGGCGCCAAAGGGGTTTTTCAGCCGTTTGTGTCATAAATAGGGAATAGATTTTGGCCGTTTTGGTCAGAAATGGGGTATGGCTTTTTCATTCTGGTCTTCAATTAAGTATGTTTTTCAGAAGAAGCTACTTTTTCATCAATAGGCTGATTTAGCAAGAAACGGGAACGTCACTTGACGACGGCGCGCGCAGAACAAACACCCAAATATGGTCAAATTAGAACAGAATCCAGGTTATTCCGCGCGCCCTCAG